AGAGAGAGAGAGAGAGAGAGAGAGAGAGAGAGAGAGAGAGAGAGAGAGAGAGAGAGAGACGGGAATGTGTGGTAATGGTGTTTTTCCCCGATTCTTCTGAGTAATTTTGATATCTGACGCAAGTCGCCCCTTGCTTTTGGATCGACTTCTCGGACTTTTCCTTTGGTTCTTCTTTAAGAATTGATGTGTGTTTTTTTCCCCCGCTTCTCTCCTCCCTCTATATAAATCGGCAACTTGACTGATTGATCATCTACGATCATGTATGTTCCCTGGCCAGTGGCCGAGGAAAGGAAGGAAATTGACGCACGAATGTCCGTCACCTCTTTTTTTTTCTGTGTATGTTCGAAATCGGATGCATGGATGTTTGGCGCTTTTCTGTCTGAATATGAACTAGATGAGCATGCCAGATGGTTAGATGTCTGTCTCATGATAGGATTACCCATCTTTGAGCTAACGTGCCAGTACATATGGGTTGTGAGCTGCTGGCTCTTATCCGCCTTACTGATGGGCAGGTCTTGTGCATGCACGTGTAAGCCTGGTCGAGGAAGGTCGTCACTTACACGTGTGTCTGGAAGATCTGTACTCGGCCAAGCTTCCCGAATGTCGGGACTCCCTCCCCACGCGACAGTATGAATATCGAAATCCCCTTTCGCATTATTGACCGCGAGTGTCTGAGGGATCGTGAATTCCGGGGGTACTGGGAGCACACGTGTCTGTCTACACGACAGAGTGAGGAACCCCCAAAATTTCCATACTCGACAGGAAACGAATGCATTTGCGAGTGGGATATTGATCGGGCTTTGGAACGTATCCCCCACCTTCCCGGCTGTCCTAGCTCATACACGTGTCACATTGTCGAGGAACCTTGAATTATTATTCTGGAAACCGAATTCCCTCCCTATCACCGCTTCTTACCCTTTCACTCCCTGACCATCGCCCCTTGGCGGGCGCTCACCCCCTACTGGCCCCAACCTCCGTTCTCAGAGTGTCTGTAGGACCACGATTACTGAGCATCCGGCCTCATCCGGCGAACTCGCTCGGAAGAGGAACGACGAGAGCACAGCCTTCGGCTGAGGCCGGCCGCGTCGGATTCGGAGACATATGGCGTCCGACGTCGGCGGGTGTTCAGCCTGTGAGATAGCCATAGCGTCCTGGCGGTACACCAGATATGGATCCAACCCAGACGACGTGACCAGCGGATGTGATAGTTCCTAATCCTCGAAGCGTAAAACAAGACTCCGACGTGCGCCTACCCACTTGCACTCATATCCCTGAAACTTGGCACAGGAGATCTCATTTCCGACCTGTGACTCCACCCCCACTTTCCTAAAATCCTTGGCACACCCGCCTTTTTTTTTGCTCTTCCAGGCCCACTGCACTCCAACTCCGATCAGGAAGTCGCACCGGGCGTGAGGTTGGGGCGTCACAGTGGTTTAATCCTGATATCAAATTAATCACTCTTTTTTTTTTTTTTTTTTTTTTTTTTATTATCATAATGTCGCTTTTCAGATATAGCCAGCCTTTTCATCTACAAAAACCTTGTGGGGGCATATATTGTTGGCTTGTCCCCCGTCTTTCCTTGGCTGAATACTATGGCTGTGTGTAGGCCAGGTCGCATCATTTGAAAAACCCCCACTGCAGGGGCCTAAATTGCCAAGTGTCCTGTCCCAGTATCCAGTTCTTCCAATATGTTGTGTTCTGCTAACCAGCCCAATTAGATTCAATCACTTTCATGATTGAGATATGACAGTCCCTTCAGCAGTTGGTCAATTGATCATCCAGATGATTTTTCTATACAGGCCCCATATGAGACTCCCTACCACCCTCACTCATCATTACTGTCCCCGGGGCATCCCTACTCCCAATTTGAAAGAAGGGTGGCGCCCAGTTTAAAATTTAGATTTGTTATCATTATGTCCGAGGCCCTGGCCCAGGCCCGTGGGAAATTCAGCCCTTGGGTCTGAGCGTGTGTTGCGGAGAAGTGCAAAAATTTGCTGTGACTCTGTTGTGGTTGTCTCTCTCTATCTTTTTTTTTTTTTTTTTTTTTGAACATCGGTCGTGGCCCTGATGCAGGGGATGATAAGAGAAGACTCCTGCATCAGCTCCATGGTTTTAATGCCTCTACAACAAGCTGGACTTTTAGGGGGAAAAAAGAAAAGCCCTAATAGATGGAGCCTTCAACACCGGGCCTGCTTAACAAGGATGTTTTTACCACCCCGTTAAGCAGGGCTTCCCAGGACACAAAGTTTCGAAACAAAAAACAAAAAACACCGTTTCCCAACTTTTTTTTTTTTTTTTTTTTAACAAAAGGGCCCAATGCCCAAGGCTTCAATTATGAAATTGATTACAACACTTATACGCACGCCTCTTCCCATTAGGGCTGGAAAAGCCTCAGCTACTGCTCCCCTGGAGACAACTTTCCTGCAAAACATGAATATAGCCTAGTTGCGGGGCATTGATTGTGTCCCCAGTGAGGAAGGAGTAACCCCGTTTGTGTGCAGAATCAATCTTTGCCTTACGAAACTCCTCAATTATCCCAACTTCAATCATTCTACACGGTGAGGAGTAGGGGAGATATCAATACGACAAAAAGATAGATAACAGGGCAAGAAAATTTAGTAGTCCATATCATAAACGAATTCCCTCAATAAGTCAGTTGTAATTACGACGAGCTTCCCCTAAATATCAGTAGTTGACACAAATACAAACCATAGGGGAGCACAGTAGTTGAAAGAAAATTCTAATCTAAACGTAAAGACCATCAAACCAAGTCAAACCCTAACCAATGATGACCAAGGATTGAACGTAGCCCCATGAGATGGAGATCGACTGAGATCAAGTACCATGAGTGAGGAAGAATTCACCCAACAAGAGAGATCAACACAGGTGAAAAGACGGGGGGAGGGAGGGAGAGAAAACAAACCAAGAAGTCACCCCTGCTTCCCAAACCCCCTCTCCGCAACCTCTCTTCTTCCTCCCGAGTCCCACGGATAAAACTCATCATCATCCTTCCACCCCTCACCGCATCGCCAGATCGGCATCATCTCATGCATGTCAAAATTTTCATGCGAGAGGGCGGGAAGAAACCGAATAGCCCTCACCTTAGTAGCTAGCCCATCGCCAGATTTTGGTTGGACGCCGATTGTGTAGATCAAAGTGGGCAAGAGAATCATGACTAAAGATT